TTTTTTTTCTTCAGATTTTGGTTCCTTTCTTTCTTTAAGTTGTGTGAGTTTTCAGAAATCGTGTGTGCTGGAAAGATGAGTACGGAACTTCAGGCAAAATGGTGTTTGACTGCGGCGCAGCAACGCAACCGCCGCACGCCCTCGATCGGCCGATTCTTATTGCGCTTATAAGCGTTATAAGAGTCGGCCGATCGGAATCGGCTTATGAAGTATGGAGACCCTAACAGGACGCGCTCAGATAGCTACCTTCGACGCGAAGCCGATTGGCGTAATAAACGAAAAAGGATGCCAAGGCAAGAACTGACGGATCTTCAATGGAACAGACTACAAAGCTTTCCGTTAAGATAACGTCACAAACACTGACACTGCGACAACGCGGATGCTAATGCCTATGGGTCGAACTTCCGCGGATACCTGCGACCAAAAAAAGATTCAAAGCGTTGTATTAGAATCGGCGTCCGCGCCGCCGCCACCATCCCACAGGTTGTTCAGATTATCTTGTATTAGGAATCGACTACACCTCTCGCCGTTCTCAATGATAGAAAAAACTGAACTCACTCGTATAAATGCTGGACAGTGGGAGTAAACTCGGTCGCTTTTCTTGAAACGCTGTTTCATCTCTTTCGGATCCACTTCAGCACCTTTGCCTCTTGCATGTCTGCATACAAAAATATGGTTACGACCATCTTTGCACATTCTCGAAGTTCGCTTGGTGAATCCAACCTTGGTCAGCTTTTCTACTGAGTCAATCCATGCCTAAAATCATTGATAGTACCTTTTAAGTGCACTATTTACCGTCCAAGCTTCGTGGTTATGTTATTTAACTTAGAGATATCAACTTCAAACCCATACCACAAATAATTTCCTTAGATATATTCTAAATTGTACTGGGATTCCATCCAGTTCCATAAGACAAAACTGAAGTTATACAAACTAAGATAACTAAGAGTAAACTATAATAAACTCCAATGACACCACTCACCAGCCCCGCCCCCAAAGATACCAACCAATCGCGTGTCGTCTAGGCCCCGCCTCTTCACGAAATAAATTTTCCACCCACCTCAAATTCTTCGTGGGATGGAAATGTTCCCTGGATCATAGCAAAGTCCTGTCCACCCTGCTGCCTATGCATTTCATTGCAGTGCATGGCCAGTTCTTCTCCAGTACGAAAAACCTTGAGACATGCTGGGCATGTAACCGGGAAGTAATTCGAAGAATGATGTACAACTTGACCATGTTGCTTCTGAACGTTTCAGATTTTTTATTGTTTATACTCATATGAAATAATGAGTCTAGATTACCTCTCTATGTACTCGTAAACCATGCACAGAAAAATAGATTTTTCCACATTCACATTCGACACTTTGTCTTCCTTCAAACTTTGTGTTTTTTATTTTTATCTTCAACTCGTCTACTTTGTCCTTTTTCCACCAATGAACAAATCTTAAATGGTCGTAAAGATTCCCCAATTGATATGGACCTCGCTGACATACGGGACATCTAGCCCGCGTTCGCGGCATCTAGAAAAGTGACAGATAAGCGCCAGGTTCATGTTTAGTTGCAAAACCGATTAGCATGCACAGGTTTTGTTCATTTTCTGCAAAGAAACTTTTGTAAAACATTGAAGACAAGCGCAAAAGTCATAAAATAGGTTAGGATTGAGGAATATTACTTGAGCCCATGAGCTGCTGCCGAATATAGATA